AAAGCTTCTCATGGTGTTATTTACTTTCACTTTTAGTGGCACACAAGCTTGTACACCTTCCCACACTGGTGTTTTTGAAGACATAATCTCTGCTGGAGCCCTGTTCCTCATGGGTTTATCATTATGCTGTGCCCAAATTGTATTTCCGCACATTGAAAACCTAAGAAATGGATAGACCTAGGAAGGCCCACAAGGATGGGCTTTCAGCCTAGCAATCATTCATTTATCTTGTTGAAAATAGTAAGAAAAAAATTGGTCTGTCAAGGTTTGAGGTCAGAACCTTGAGTTCCAGTATCGGTATGGCAGAATGGTTGAGGGTGTGGAGGTGTCCTTGGGGCCCCCGCTGAGACTGAATTATAGTTCTGCCATTTACAACCCGTGTTACTTTAGGCAAGTTCTCCCTCTCAGTTCTGAGTCTGTAAAATGGGCATGACAGGAATTACTGCATGAAGCATGGCTGAAGGTTGGAGCACGCACTCTGAATTACCTGCTGTGGTTAAGGTCACCACCACCACCATCATCATCATCATAGCATAGGTGGGGTGGGATAAAACAACAATCCGAGGTCGGGACATAAGAGCAGAAGAGCTGGAGGAAATGTATACCAAGTGCTGGGGTTCTCACTGAGGACGCAATGGATGCAGGAGACTCAGAGTGGCATGGGCCCTGAGAGAAGATGGTCTCCATGTAGAAGTGACTAATCGTAGTCTTGAGAAGTCGCTTCAGTAGAGCAGACAAGGCGCACATTCATAGTTAGAGGACTAGGAAAACAATGGCCAGGACTGGGGAGATGGCTCAGTCCTATGCAAATGTGAAGATCTGGGCTTAGATCCCAGGTATTTATGTAAAAAAACTAGGCTTGGCGGTACATGCCTATAACCCTAGTACTGGGGAGGCTGAGACAGGAGGATCCCTGAGGCTTCCTGACCAGCTAGTCCTGGTCAGATCCAGGTTTAACATGAAGTCATGTCCCAATAATATAGTAGTAGTAGGAGTAATAGTACTAGTAATAATAATAATGTGAAAAACAATAGAGGAAAGCACCTGGCTAGCAACCTCTGACCTACACACACACACACACACACACACACATGTGCATATACATACATATGTAAAGTGTGTATACACGCCATACCCACATGTACCCATAAACCGTAATAAGAAGGAAATGTCTAGAAAGAGGGGAAACAGTGGGAGAAAGGGAAGGGAAGATGAGCTAGAGTCACGTGACATGTTGCTTTAATAAACTTTCCTCAAGCAGGCTATGCTCTTAAAAGGAAGAAGCTGGAGAGATGACTCAGCAGTTAAGAGCACTGTCTGCTCATCCAGAGGATCTGGGTTCAATTCCCAGCAGCACGTGGCAGCTCACACTTGTCTAGTCCTGAGGACCTGACTCCCTTTCTCGTTTCTGTGGGCACCAGGCAGACTGTATGTGGTGCACAGACATTCAGACAGGACACCCACACACATTAAGTGAATAATAAGAGGAGGAAACTGCAGGGAATAATAGCCCAGTAGCCTATGCAGCCATTTTTATAGTAAACTAATTGAGGATTAGCACCTAACTTCAGTGTCAGTCACTGGCTGAGGGACAAAAAGAGCACCTTTAAGGAACTGCAGAGGGGTGGGCTTTACCCCAAACAGTAAAAACAAAGCTCGAGGCTTTAAAGGGATGGGTTTTAATTTGGGATGGGAGGGACTTACTCTTCATGACAACAGTAGCTCTTCGGGAGTTGCAGTGACTGCCTGGCCTGATGAGGCTTACCAGTAATGAGCTACACTTTTGTCTGTATTCATGTGATTCAGCACATTCTCTGCAATGGCTGCGTAGATCTGAAGGGACAAGTTGTGACTAGAGATGCTTCTGTAAAGTGAAATCCATGGAGCCTAGATTCCCAAACCAAGACTACAGCACAGACAGACACACACAGGCACACAGGCACACAGACAGACAGACAGACAGACAGACACACACACACACACACACACACACACACACACACACACACACACCCTGCTCTGTGGTGAGGATATAGGAAAGCCCCATCTTTTCCTAAGAGTTGTCTCCACGGTGCTTATGCAGTCATCAGAATTCACCACCATTCTGACCACTTCCCATAGTTCAGTGGCACCTTCTTTTCAAGTCATTCTGACTGGTGTACATGTTTGAGTGTGCAGTCCCTGCCTTGAACTTGTCAGACTGACAAATGAGTCAGTCAGTTGCCAAACATTTGATAGGCCAGCTTCAACAAATACTGAGAGGTGTCTTAAAGGTTGCCAACTCGACAGTGCCTTTGCATGCTTTGGACAGCTAGTCGATAGGAAATTAGTTTACCTGAGATAGATGGTCTAGTTTGCTACTTTATCCTCTGCTTACATCTTATTATGTCATTGTGAAGGAAAGTGTGTGTTTGTAGTTTTGTGTTCTGCTCCACTACGTATATTTTCAGTAAAAAGGAAATCAGGATTGTTTGTTAAAAAAACATAGAGGCAGTTGTAGCAGATTAAGATACTGGGAAGCTCCGTGGCAGGTATCTGGGTACTGATACTGCCATCGTTCCTCATTTGTTTGCCTTGATATAATTTGTAATCCAGAACTGATCGAGAAATGCTTGTGTCTATAGAATTCGTCCACCACGCCTGTCTTAGTTTCTTTTCCGTTGCTGTGATAAAATACTCTGACAAAAGCAGTTTGGAGGAGGAAGGGTTTATTTAGCTCACAGTTTCAGGTTACAGTCCATAACTTCAGGAATGGGAAGCGGCTAGTCACTTTACACCCACAGTCAAGCACAGAGCAGGCAATAGTGCGTCCACAATAGTGCGGTGCTCCCTTCCTCCGTTCTCCTACAGGTCTGGTCTCAGTCACACAGTCGAGATCATCCCCACAGGCACGCTCAGAGGCCATCTCCTAAGAAATTCTAGATTGTCAGTTAATGCCAAGATGATGCCTTTCTTCATTGGAAGGGAAAATTCCTTCGCTGTTCAGCCTGGAGGCTTTGTGCTTGACGTGCCAAATTAAGGGCTTGAGTAGAGGAACATTTGATTGCCTGTTTCTCATTTCTTACCCGCAAAACAAAACACGTGATTTACAAGATTGAGTATGGTTGTCAATAGGCACGAAGCTTCTATTACTTGGCTGATGGAGGCTTTCAAAGCAGGAATATAAAAATACCTTTTCTTGGGGCTGCTGAGATGGGTCAGCATTTGAGAACATTGGCTGCTCTTCTAGAAGACCTGGCTTGTTTCTCATCACCTGCATGATGGCTAACAACCATCTGTAACTCTAGTTCCAGGGGATCTGTCACCCTCTTCTGGCACAGACGTGTGCTGACAAACCGTTCACACACACACACATCTTTTTTTTTTACACACAGCTCTAACTGTGCACCACACCCATCCACATGAATTCATTGCTTGGTCTTCCCCACATGAAGATCCTTGAAGCTGGAGCTTCATCAGTGAAGAGTCAGCTGCCTCAGGTGACTTTCATCCTCTTCCCTCTTCTGCCACCTTGGTGCCCCTCTCAGGCTGAGAGGGTAGGCATTGTGCGGTCTCCCTGCAGCTGCCCTGCCTCGTGAGGCGCTTGCACCTGAGCCTTGGTTCTTCTAGACACTGGGTGTGTCCTCCTCCAATTTCACCACAGCCTCAAACTGAATGCTCAACAAGAAAGAAATCGTGATTCTAATTCTTGTAGCCTTTCAGCTACTTACAAACCACCTCGGTCACCACCACCACCCCTCATTCCTAAAGCCTTATTTTAGTGAAGCTCCCCCCTCAGAATCTCCAGGAATGACTAAACAAGAGTACAACCCAGACACAGGTTCCAGTAAACTCTGTCACTGGTTGTTACATAACTGCCGGTGAATCACAACTCAAGCAGGACAGAAAATCTCCGGCTACTGGGAGTTGTCCAGAATGGCAGAAGCCAGGCCCCGGTGTTCATATAATCTTTGCTCCTAGTGTGGAGAAACCGGTGGGGTGGAGATGGAGAGTGCCAGCTGAGCAGTGTGTGTCCATAGTGACCCACTCTTGTCCACCGTCTGAGAGGCGGACTGATGCAGCCGGGCCTAGAAGAATCAAGGGAGGGGGTAGACGCATAGGTCTTTAGGGTAGTAGCATCAGCATAAGGAGGTGTCAAATTGCTCTAGGGTTGCTTTCCTAGATGGTCCTCACAATTTGTAGCTGATGTGAGTAGAATTTCTACAGCAGGAGAGGAGGAGGCAAGGCCTTCTTATCGGCATGGTTCCCTGCACTCCCACAGACGTGTTTCTGTTAATCTGTTCCTGCAGGCAGCATCTCTCAGCTGCTTACATTTGATAACTTGTTTTGCATCCGGATTTATTCCTGCCAACGGCAGGTGAAAAATTACCTCAGTGAGTGCTACATTTGCTCTGGTTAAGGGCACTTTCTACTATCCATAGTTCTGTTTGAGCGTTGAACCGAAGTGTCTCCCCAGACCTTAGATTTGTGAACCTGTAGCATCAAAGAGCTGGTTGCAACCTGTCAGAGAGAGTGTATGGCATAGATGTAGTGTTTCCCTGAGATAGCGTGTTTTGTTACGACCATAATAAGGTAACTGGAAAAACACTGACAACTCTAAAGGGGAAGAACGCTTTCCGTGTAGAGTCAGCTGGGCACTCCCAGCTACCAATCATTCTTTTTGAGATCTGTAATTCATCTCTTTTGTTGTCTCCTTAATAAGCATAAACTGCCTACTTGTTGGGTAGAAACACACCATTAGAATGGAGTGTTGCCATTTTATGTCATACAATTAACGTACTATCTAGTCATCAGAGAAGTTAGGTCAGCAGAGTTGTCTGTAATTATCTGAACAGTGCCTGTGCATGCCATCGTGTCCGAACAGCAGATGTTTGACGTCAAAACTGTTCAAAGGAATTTCAGTTTATCTTAGAAACTGGCTGTTGTATAATTGTTCTCCATTACCGGGTAGTCATTTGAATAATGAATTGTAATTTGTATTTTTTCTCTTCTCTTTCTAGACACAGTGCTGTTCTTGACCATTATCCCATTGAGAACACCAGGGAAGCCCAGCCACCGCCAGCATGTCCAAGCACAGACTTATTATACTGAGACATGGAGAGGGTGAATGGAATAAGCAGAACCGATTCTGTAGCTGGGTGGACCAGAAACTCAACAGTGAGGGACTGCAGGAGGCTCGGAACTGTGGGAAGCAACTCAAAGCCCTGAACTTTGAGTTTGATCTGGTCTTCACCTCCATTCTCAACAGGTCCATTCACACAGCCTGGCTGATCCTGGAAGAGCTGGGGCAGGAATGGGTTCCTGTGGAGAGCTCCTGGCGTCTCAATGAGCGTCACTATGGAGCCTTGATTGGCCTCAACAGGGAGAAGATGGCCCTGAATCATGGTGAAGAGCAGGTGAGGCTCTGGAGGAGAAGCTACAACGTTACCCCGCCTCCTATTGAGGAGTCCCATCCCTACTTCCACGAGATCTACGGGGACCGGCGGTATAAAGTGTGCGACATAGCCCTGGATCAACTGCCACGTTCAGAAAGCTTGAAGGATGTTCTGGAAAGACTTCTTCCCTACTGGAAGGAAAGGATTGCTCCTGAAATACTAAAGGGCAAAACCATTCTGATATCTGCTCACGGGAATAGCAGTAGAGCCCTCCTGAAACATCTAGAAGGTACGGGCGCTCTGAATTGCTTTAGAGCTTGCAAAGGGTTGTAGTTGGGTCTTCCTCTAGAAATAGAGAGCACTCTCCTCTCTTCATGCCCCTTGTCACCTAATGTTTTAAAAGCCACTGTCCTATAACCTAAAACTCGTGTAGTTTTTGGTGGTCATCTGGCTGAAGCAGAGGTTTTCAGATGTCAGTGGGGGTCAGTGTGACAGAGTTGTGAGTTGCACCCTGGGAGTTTCAGAATCAAGAGGTAGAGTTAAGACCTGGCATTTCTTAGCAGTTGCTGGTGACAGCTGCCGTCTTGGGGCCTCTGCACTTTGACAGGCTCTGATCTGAAGGGTCACATGGCTTCTGCTGTAAAATGAACAGAGGCTAAGAATTGAAAATAAATTTATTTGAGTAAATTATCTAGAATTCAGTTTTGTCTATTTTCTTCCCATTTCAGATAGTTGTGGCTGTGTTTTCAGACCTGGATTCCCTGAGCAGGTCTTTTGTTCCAGTTTCCCAGACTAGGCTTGGTCACTGCCTGTGAGAGTGATAGAGGGGAGGGAGATGAAACAGTTCAGGGTTATCCGCACACTTCTGCTAAGAGCTTGAGAGGATTAGGAGCCTCAGTTTATTTCAGTCACTTGATGCTGTATTGCACACAAGAACTCTTGAGAACCCTGGACTCACCTCTGTGGGGTGCCAGGGATGGAGGCTCACTCTTGCTGTCCCTTCACTAGTCCCCATGGCTGCTCCTTTGGGTGCTCTCCACCACCTTCCCTGCCTCATCACTGGCCACAGCTTGCTCGTCACGAATCCCGTGCTTCACCGTTCCTCCATGAAAGCCTGTAGAGTCAGAATGGTTGAAGCTCTGTGTGAAAGGAGATAGGTTGCTGATCCCAAAGTGACGGCGTGTCTGAGATTCTAGTGGGAACATTTTACCATATGGTATCTTCCCCTAAGTTTTAGGGCATTATCTAGACCCGGGTTATTACTGGAATACCTGACATCCACTATCCTGCAGCGTCTATAATCTACAAACATTGTCAGCTGTTACGAAGTTTATTGGATAAGCATGGTGGTCATCTTTTTGTGCCTATGTATATATAGCTTATTTATCCAAGTATATAAAGGATTCTATTATTAATTGCTCAGGAAAATTAAAATGTAATTAAATTATATGTAACTGTCATTAACAGAGTATAATTGTTGTTTAAGGAGTTGAAGATTCAGTTAGAACAGCAAACTTGAAATTCCAATATTTCTGACAGAATTTATATTCTATGAATTTAGATCATTTTGTGACCAGGCCCCAAGGAAAATGCCACTGTCTCTATCAGAGTGTTCTTTTTCCTTAGCTAGGTGATCCCTTTTTTAAAAAGTTTCCTGCTATTTAGTACCATTTACTCCTCACCTGTCTATAAGTTTAGGTCTCCCAAAGACATTTCTTTCCCCTTGATGTTTCCATTGATAATTTACTGTTTGTTAAGGATCTCTGCCAAGGGAGCTAGGAAAGGTCTTACCAGTGGTGGTGAGAGAGGCCATCACCATGGTAGATGCGAAGGGAAAACACCTATGGAAGATGAGCTTGAACATTAAAAGACTTGTCTGCAACTAAGGGAAATTTTAATGTATTAATGATTTATTGAAAAATTACCTAATCAAATAGTATAGTGACTTTGGAAAATAATTTTTCTACTTCCTAAAGGGACTCCGTGTACCCTGAGCATGACCAACTGGCCCACTCCTGTACTCTTGTGTTAGTGTCCTAGTGCAGTTATAAAGATAGTGCCCAGAACTGGACACTTAAAACAGCAGAAATTCCTTTGATGAGTCTAGAATCCCTAAGTTTTAAGGTGTGGGTGGGGTTTTCCTCTGTGTCCAGGCTCTGCATCTTCTAGATGCTGGTGATTGCTGCCAGTATTTGATATTTCCTGGGTTTGTAGGCCATCATTTCTGTCTTCTTCCCATGTATTCTTCCTGTGGAGGTAGGGGTCCTTGTCCGTATTCCTTGATGTTGTACAGACACCAATGCTATTGAGTTAGTGGCTACCCCAGTGACTCATTTTAACTTGATTATTTCTGTTAAAGACAAGGCCACATTCTGAGGTCCTGGAGTTTGAGTCTTCAACATATCTTTTTTCAGGAATACAGTTCAACCCATATCAACTCCCACAAGAAATAAAAATTTCCACACTAAACTTGTATATAGACTTTCATAGCAGCATATTCATAATAGCAAAAAAGTAGATCAACTCAAATGTCCAACTATGAGCAAATTAAATGTTTTACAGCCATACTGTAGTATTTTTTGTCAGTAAAAAGGAATTAAGTACTGTATGTGCTATAACAGGTGAATGTTGAGATCATTGCATTATGAGAGAGTAGTCACAAAGAATTATCAGTATAGAATTCTTTCTAAACAGTCCAGAATGGGGGCTGGAGAGGTGGCTTGGTGGTTAAGAGGACCTCTTCTAGAGGACCCAAGTTTACCTCTCAGCACCCAGATTTAAGGGGCTGACACCCTCTTTTGGTCTCTGAGGGCACCCATACATATGTGGTATTTACTCATGCAGCCACACATACATGCACATAAATAAAAATGAATCTTTAAAAACATGTCCAGAATAGGCATAAATCTAGAGACAGAATATAATGCATATTGACAGGACTGGGGATACCTGGAAAGTGGGGGTGATTGAGATAACTTGGTACTTGAAAATTGATTGTAATGATGGTTACACAACTCTGTTAGTGTTGCAAAAGCTATTGAAATGTATACCTTAAATGGCTTGTATGTGAATTATATTTTATTAATTCTATAAAATCAGTGAAATTAAAAATCAGGTTGGTCAAGAATGGTTTAGGGCATATATATGGAAGTGATAGCATATGCATAGATAATTATAAAATAAGAAAGGCAAAAACTTAGTTTTGGTCACTGGGACCAAAAAAACTTCCTGGGTTTCAGAGAAGTGAGCAAGCTTTAGGCCATTGACTGCTTCCAGCACTTCTTCTGAACGTCTTCCTAAAAGCTGATTATATAAGACTCTGGTCTTTCAGAGGTCAATAAATGAATGAACTTGTTATAACATCAACGAAGGGAATGTTTTTCACTTTTGATTAAGGCAGTGGAATTGGAGTGGGAAGAAAAGGCTTACACAGGAAGTATGCAAACATGAGAAAGGCCGAGGACTGGAAGCTGTCTGCAGGAAGAGGAAGTAGGCACAAAGGAGCTAGAGACTAGAAATGGTGGGTTTGGTGCAAGGGAGAAATGGCTCAAGAGCCGGAGATGTAGGTAGACTCAGTCCATAATCCAAGAAACAGCACAGTAGGTATGCTGGTTGAAATCCGACCCCGGAAACAGGGAGCGTTGGCTTTGGTTCTTGCCCATCTTGTGAGGACCCCCCCCCCTGGCCTGTGTAGCCTCCTTTGGAACCACTTAGGATTCGTGGAGTTCTTTCGTGTTCCCATGCCTTCTGGTTATGGACTGCCTGTCTAACGTGGAGGAAGTTATTTCATGTATGTGAAATAGGCTGGGTTTGAGTTTAGGATTATTTCATAAAGTAGTTATCTATTGTTTGGGGAATGCTCCAAATGCTTTTCCATTTGTTTTCTCTTATAATACATATTGAAATTAAGAGCCAAGTGTCCTCATAGCTTCTTAACTGTGAGTCAGAAACAACTGAGTCACGGCAGGGGATTCTGCAACAACGTGAGGTTGTGGGAAGTCTAACAACACTAAAAGGTTCCTGAGTGCACAACTAATTCAGACCCAAATGCATAGTGACTCCAAGGTGTTGCACATTCTAGGATGTGAAGAAATGGTGTCTTGAAGAGTAGTGTGTCTCTCTCAACTTGACGAGGTCTCAGCATCTTCGAATCCGTTGTTGACATGTCCACTCACTGGCATAATGACATGGTCTATTATCTTGTAAGTCAGATCTTCAGAAGGTCACTGTTGTTTTTTTTTTTTTTTTGCTTCAGTTACGGGCGATGGAATATGAACCACAAGTCTTAGCAAGCCCATGTGGAGTTTATGGGGGAAGGGGTGAGGGGACAAAGGGAAATGGGGGAAGGAGGAAAAAGGGGTGAATAGGTGGGAGACGCTTGCTTAAAAGGGGAGCTTGCACATGCGTACAGAGCCCTTACTCAGCCCCATAACGCTCACATAGCCTTGAGTAGCCACCCAACACAGGGCCCTTTGAGCTGCCTGAGTACCTGCCTGAATGCCAGTATGTGTGTCCCGCCCATTGCCGGGGGGCGGGGCCAGCAGAATGCTGGGGGTGCAATTAACAGAGCTTCGTGCACTGCTTGATAAGTTCTTTTTATGGAAGGTGGGTTGAGACAGGGTTTCTCTGTGGCTTTGGAGGCTCTCCAGGAACTAGCTCCTGTAGACCAGGCTGGTCTCGAACTCATGTCTTTATTTGATAAGTTCTTAACCTAAAATATTCGACTGACTCTAGATGCTAGCTTTTTCCAAAAAATTGAATCTCCACTAGTTTAGGAGGGACATCTCAGCTCTCTCATAGGAATCGATACTCGGAGTATGTGTGTTTATTATGGGAACTTATCACATTGCCAGTTTATATTACTGTAGTTGCTTGTCCCACAAAACCCATTTCTGATGTATAGTAATCATCGTGCTATAATTACTACCAACTTTTACTTTTAGAATTACCCCAGCTCAAATAATAAATCATAAAATCACCTTACTTTATGGATTTGTTCTTAATATTAGACTTAACAACTAATCTGAATTCATTAGAATTGTCTTTGAAATGCATACTCTCTCTAAACACAAAAGTTGCAAAATTGCTTACACTTTTTTTTAAGGTAAAAATGCTTGTTGTAGATGCATCTGATTCCAACTCATGTTTTCCATGGGTATTAATATTTACATAAAAATCCCCCCTATAAAATTGGGTCTTACAAGGAACTGGGAAAACTTCTCATATTGTCCTTAAACTGCCTGACAAACATAAAGCATGTAACTGATTATAAAACTACCTTCTTGATTG